CCGGAAAGCGAAAGACTCGGGTTCGATTCCCGATTCAGCCACTTGTACCTCGCATATTTTTTCAGACCCGCAAATGTTGTTTTCTAACAATTATTTGTCGGGCTGAGGAAGTGTGTAAACGCCCTACACAGACACGACAGTGCCGCTGCCACGGAAGAGATGGATGCTTGGTTCGTGCCTCCTCCCGCCTTAAATCCCCCCCTCGCTTCACGATAAGACGATAATATATCGCGGACAAAAATGATAATTATCGAAGTCATTAATAGATCCTTAAGCGAGATTTCATTCGGATGATGAAATGAATGTAAGTCTCGTTTTTGATGCCTTCGAGCCATTGCTTTTTCGCCGTTGCTGCTGCCAATGGAACGGAAGCTGCCCCGCGGTTGTTACATAATTAACAGACACAAAACTGTCGGATGTTTATCTCTATGTAGATATAATGATAATGTCGACATGATCACAACTTTTCGTGTTCCCCGGTGATATAGATAGATTTCTTTTATTGCGCGAACATCTTTAAACCGAAAGAAAAAGAGAACGATTTTTTTTATAAATTTTATAAGTTAATTGATAAATACTTTTGTGTATATCTTATCATACACAATATATGTGAGTTCAAATTTTTATTTTTTTAAAGTGTTATATTTTATATATAACTCATCATGTTATAATATTTTATGTATGTGCACTTGATTTAAATTGTAGTAATAATAATTTTTATTTTCAGGTGTACAATAGTTGATCAGATAATTAATAATTATTATTATCAATTTCAAATTAAATGTGGGATATCTAATATTACTGAATTTGCAAACAAGACTAATGTCGACGAATACATTTATCGGTATTTCTTCGAACCGATAGAATGGAATCTTTTTGATATGATATGCAGATTTTCAGCTCGTTCTCGTATCGAGCACATTGATTTGATACTACCTGGGATCTAAGACGTACAAGTAGGTAACAGCGCCATTTGTTGCACGCGACAAGCAGGTAGGAGTATGTATAAAACGAAAACGACGCAATTTTATCTGAAAATACACTTTACGATATCTGGAACGAGCGGAAGCCATTCATAGGTTTTGTAACTGCCTCCAGAGCCATCGTGCGCGATCCACGCGTAGTTCTAGACTTGGTTTGTTATCGTGTTCAGCCGCGGAGAACGAGAGACACCTTCGATTTAACCCTAACAAGAGATCGATGGATCCCGCGAGACTGCCCGATACGGAGCAAGCTGTACGTCCGGCTGTACGTATGCCAATTGTATAACATATGTACATATATATCAGCCGTCCCATTCGATCGATCGGCCATGAGAAAAAGAGAGAGAGGGGACGAACGAAGCTACGGGAACCAGGTCCGCGAATTAATGCCTCTTTATTTCGCCGCGAACATTTCGTTAAGACTCGATATGTCCATATAATGTGCGCCGCTTTTTATCGAATCAATCGCCCGCTGTTCCGATCGCTCCCTTAATTACGTAATGCAGTGCCGATTCTATTCGCCAATTAACAATGACAGACAATACCGAATCGCACTAGTCTTTCTTTAGGACGAGATAGAATCATTTTCCAAACGCGAAAGCGCGCGCAACAATTTGCGAAACATTCGGTACTCTTTTAACTCTCAATAAAGTATTATCTGTGCGTAATTATATGTATTATCGAATCGATGTCCACCGAATGTTAATTACGTGGCGATTTCTCGATTGTCATTGCATTCCTATTTGCGGAATCGCACGATCGTTTAATGAGTTCGTACGTTGACAATATATCCATCGGCCAATATAAAACGTTCCGTATAGATTTTTCAAATTCTCACCCGCGTGATGAATGCGCCGTCGCTGTCCTTTCCCGATGTGGCATCAATTCGAGCCTCGTTAACGGGAAATCGGCCCGTGCGCGTTGCACATCCCGACCGAGGGAACTAATTAGCCATAACTTTCCGTAAATGGATTTTAGCGCGCGATACCGTCGGCTTTTATTGCGCCTCGCGCTCGATGTATCGTCAATCCGGTCGACGATCGCGATGATCATTTGACGTATTATGAATTTAACTATGCAATATTCCGGAGCGCGAACTTTTATTATCACAGACCTCGTTCCCCTTTTTTCGCGTTGACGAGTACGCAAACGATAAGCGTAAACGCCCCGCTTGATCGATCGCCGTCGCACT